TGGATTTGTAGGCTAGCAGAGGGTGAAATATGCATAGGCTGCAATTCCTCTACTATTACACGCATATTCTTAATAATAACGTCTGCACTCATGCAAATACTCGCACTTCGTCTCATGATCTGTCGAGTAGATATGTCCAAATTGTGACTGATGGCGATCTACGCGGGTTTTAAGTAACAACACAGCCTTTTGTTTTTGTAACAGACTCCTGCACTTCTGACATCGGTAACTGATATTTTTTTTCATGGAAATGTGGATATCTAGCAAGGACAAAGTCTCCGTAAGTCTGAAAGTCGGATGCAGGGTTGAGATTTCCTGAGTGCAAGATTCCGATTAACGCCAGACAAGCCCCGATGTAGTCAGTGTGTTAATCCAGCGCATCTAATGTTCGGCCGGTTTTAGGGACGCTGCCATTGTTCAGTGACGTACACACGCAACGATTGCGCACACGCCAGTGACGACCTGTTGCCAAGGTCATCTAGGGGCGATTCTACTCGCATTCAGCATTCGGCCATCTGGCGAAATCTACGTGCACGGACTGCGATCGATGCATGCTGCGTCATCTGACTGTCCACCTGGTACGCAACAAGAAGCAGGGCATTCCCACGCAGATAGTGCCGATTCAGTTAATCGTATCTCTTTTTGCAACCAAATCACTAACCAGGGTTATGTTTGAACATGCGTTTCCTTAAGTACCCTTCACATCATTCATGTGAGCTCGTCGTGTTCGGTGAAATCTTTGCTAAGCATAAATGCCGAGACAGCCCAACCGCTGAATCTTTTTTCAGAGGAAGAGACGGATCAGCTGCTGCTACGGAGACAGACAGCGTACCTGCCGCCAACATCTTCCGTCGACCGACTACGTTCGTTGGACGTAATACAGGGCTACAGGTTTGCAACCTGCCTGCGGGAAATTTATCTGACATATCATTGTTGTGCCACATTGGCAGGTACAACCACTGTATGGTCTCAAATTGCCTATCCGTCCGCATCGAGGGCCCCTTCAGCTTAAAGAATATATTTCCTAAAGACACACGTACCCACCTCGATCGAACTGTAAAACCTCGGTGTCTCAGTGAGATTCGAACCTGCTACAGAAAGCGGGCGCTTTAGTACAGTCATCAATCTAGCCAAATGAACTACGAGGCTCCAACTGAATACGTGAGTTGAATCACATTTGCGTCAATTTTACCCGCCCAACCTACTGCAAGGTCTGGTATCCACCAAACCTGATACAGTAGGTTGACTGCCTTAGCAGGATTTTCCAATTAATGCATCTAGAATTCATCAGATTGCGGCTATCAGGCTCCCATAATTCATGAGTGTTGAGGCAGGTGTAATTAAATTTGCGCCGTCCGATGGGGCCTCGTAGTTCAGGTGGCCAGAGCGTTGGCCGTACTAAAGCCACCCTTTGCTGTGTCGTCGGTTCGAATCCTATCGACGCACCAAGTTGTTCACAATTGTATCAAAGTGAATTATTTGAAATCTGCCGCTGTGCTACACTCATGAACAGTGCTGCCTATACCACGCCACTGCAGGCTTTTCTGTTGATGCCGACGACAATGGAAAAATGGAAAAACAATGACTAACCCATTTGGTGTGATTCCTGGTTAAATCTGAACAGTCGAAAGATGCACCGCGCTAATCAGAAAAGGGTAAAACCCTCGCGGAGCATCTGCGTTAACAAACTGTATTTTCATTAGGAATGTATTAAGTAGATTATGGTTACGCTTAATGGCAACTTTGGAGCCTGAACTTACTTATTTTTTCAAAAATAAAGCTTTCTTATCAGTGTGATTTTGACGTGAGGAGAAACACTCGATCGCTGAACCGAAAAGACTGTTCACGTGAGGCTTCAGATCCATTTTCGATCAAGGACAGCAACAGATTGAAGTTGTGAACGCACAAAGGGTAACATTTGTATAGACTGCAATTCTTGTGCTAACATGTGCATGTTTATAATAATAACGTCCGCATTCCCTGCAGCTTTTCGTTATTCGTTTGACCAATGCTGAGTGTCCCTTTTCCTATTGACGCCAGTCAGACCTCAATCTAGTCCGCGTGTTGGTCCAGCGCATCTGCCGAGTAGCCGATTTTATGGACACTCCATTGTTCAATGACGTACGAACGCATCGATTGCGCACGCCGCTGATTCTGCCAAGGTCATCCAGGGGCACCTCTACTCGCATTCAGCGTTCGGCCATCTGGCGAAGTCTACGTGCACGGACTGCGATCAATGGATGCTGCGTCATTTGTCGACCGTGATCCATTTTACCTCAGCAGACGCGTAGGCGCCTCACAATCTAGGGACCACCAACTCGAGGTGCACCCCCGATAACTGACTCCCAACCTTGCACGCAGCATGAAGCAGGGCCTTCCCACGTAGATAGTGTAGATCCAGATAATCGTATCTCTGCAACGAATTCACTAACAGGGCAATGCTCGATCATCTGTTTCCTTCATGGCCCTTGAAATCACTCATGTGGACCCGTCATACTCATTGAGGTTTTTTCTGAACACGAATCCTAAGATATATTTATAAGAATGACAAATGGATCTACCGTAGAAATATACTTCGTCCGACCGTCGGAGCCGCCGATGTACACCGTGTGCTACACAGCGAGATGCAGCAGTCACGGTAACTTGCGAGTGAATGCGTTTATGGTGATTGTAGACTATCCGCAGTATCTACCGCATTCTCTCCTACTCCCCCCACCTGCACCTGCTGTCAAGACAGTGTCAGGAAGACAGGAGGCCGGACCCACAACTAGGCGTGTCACAACACCCTCTGGTCGTTAATATAAACTTCGCCCACAACAACAACAACAACGACAACAACAACAGGGGTAGGAAGTACGAGGGTGACTGGTCAGTCAGGCCCGACACCTGTACATGCACAGGCAATGAAAGCGTATCTACTGGCAGGGAACCAGGTGTCAGCGTATACCAGGCTGCGAGGGCCATAGTTTGTTGATACTGCCATAGATCTGTTGACATAGAAGGGCGGCATGTGTCCCTTCAGTTGGCCTGGGCGGTCACTCCTAAAGGTTGAGTTACCAAGGAGACGTCGACTGGCAGCCACCACCAATGAAGCGCACACTATCTCCTCACATGCTTCAAAGTGTCACAGAACGCTTGAGAAGGAGCTATTTCAGCCTGGCTCACAGCATATTCGTTCGCAACTCCACACACTCGAGAAGACGCCGTGACAGCCTGACTGTCAGTCCATCGGTCAGCCACACCGAAGAGCACACACGCACACAACTGGGCAGACTGTGTGGACTGATTTGGGGCGTCAGTCAGCAGCCTTCTGAGCCACAGAGATAAACACGCCCAGATGGACTCAGACACGAGCCACACACGCAGCAAGAACAGGGCAGCCGCATGGAGAAGTTGGCGAGACGCATAAGAATGCGTGAGATGGGGTGGGTGATGTTGACGTGCGCTGCGATTCTGGTGAGTTAGGATGAGATGGAGTGGTGCAGCCGGCGGTTATCTACCACCGGTTTTCGTGAACGCGACTGTGGCCAAATAGAAGCATACGGTGAATAAATGTGGAAGTGGAATGTGGACAGTGGTGGCAGGTACGACGGGTGTAGGTCGGTGCTCCAGGCACTGGTCCGCCGCCTCTGTGCGATGGATTTGCAAATGACCGACCAGGCCGATGTGTGAGTTGAAGGTGCGGTCGCAGAGGGGGCAGATGTAGAGCTGGTCCTCTCCTCTGCAGTCGGATGATGTAGGCGTGGTGTCTGTTGTTGTGTCG